TCCAAACCCGGACGCGCTGAATGATGTCATGAATAACGTCAATTATATTGTCCGGGCAAGACGTCCGAAATATACGTCATTTTTTTCAACAGGGTAGTGACGTACTAGAGTTCGTATTTTTTATAACTAAAATTGGGTTAAAATTTAAGGATTTATACATTAGGAAAATGAGGATCGTCAAGTGAAAAAAAATACTTTTAATATACATGTTTATTGCATAAAGGATTTGATAAATTAGATACATAATAAATGTTTGTACATGTAAGAATAGCACATATAAAATCTACACATTTAATATCGCGCGCCTTTTACTAGACAGTTGGCAGTACACAAAAGTTACTACATCTCGGCCTGCCACCATTTCCCAAACTCGACTTTACACAACGCTGGATACGCGTGACTTGAGCATGTCCATGATTGCACGATGCATTCGCCTCTCATATCATAATGTACTACTAGCGCTTTACCTCACTCGCTTACGCTTGTTTGGTTTCCAGATTATTTATCCGAAATTTTGGGAGGATGCAGATATTTTTGAAGATTTTTTTACTAGTATCGATTCAACATTCGTTGTAGAGTTAATTAAATAAAGTTTTTGATGTTTAACGTTTTATGGCTCGTTGGGTAGGCTAGTAAATCCGTGAAAAACGAGCTATCGAGCGAGCGCGATAATATAACTACAAATTTGTTGGTGGAGGATGGTAATATGTCGAGGCCGCGGAGCGGCCTCGGCAACCCCAACCAAACCTTAAGCTCAAAATTATTAAAACTAAATCGAAAATTTGAATTAAACTTGAATTCGTTTTGAAACGGAAGTAATGTAAGTAGAGGCCGCGCAAGCGGCCTCGGCACTTATTAAACGAAATCACAATTAATCAGAAAGTATTGACTACAGAATAAATCGAAAAATCAGTTTTATTAAAATCGATTAAAATTACATAAAAAACAAAATCAGCTGTATAAGAACAGCTGTAAGATGTGTAACGTCTTTATGAACATTAAAAATAGAATTTAACATTAAACAATTCAAGTAATTCTATCTAAAATTCGAGTAATTAAATCAAAACAAAATTCGAGTAATTCGATTTAAAAAATTCAAGTAAATCAATTTACAATAGAAAAAAAAGAAGCGCTGCAAGATGTGTAACTAAACTCACATTTAAAGGTAAAAAATTAAAAAAAATAAATAAATAAAATAAACCAAATAAAACGAAAAAGTATTTGACGTTGCACTTCTGGTGATTTTTGTATAATATGCTCAGACACCAGAAGTGCAAAGTCAAATACTTTTTCGTTTTATTTGGTTTGTTTTATTTATTTATTTTTTTAATTTTTTACCTTTTTTTAAATAAGTTTTTTTTCCATCTTTTTTACAGTAACACGATTCAAGTTTATGGAAATTTCGGAATTAAAAAAAAAAAAAAAACAATAGTATTATTATAGTACTATTAAAGTACTTTTTTTCAGAATTCGAAATCAGAAATTTTGGGCATCTAAGCAGTTTTTTCCGCTTCACTTCAATGAATTTCTTGATTTTGATTATTTTTTGATATATTTTCCCAGTTGAAAATAATTGCGTGGATATCCACGTGGATTATCCAGGATGATTCCACGTGGATCATACAGGGATTCCTTGAGGATGGGACATTGATTCCACGTGGATCGAACATGGTTCATATAAAGAGTCCACGTACGTAAACCACGGGGATTTGCACGGAAATCCTCGTTGATTTTCGATCGATCCACGGGGATTTTCGCGCAAATCCTCGTTGATTTTCGATCGATCCACGAGGATTGAAAAAAATCAGCGTGGATCAGTCGAAAATCCGTGGTGATTCGCCGCAAATCCTCGCGGATGTTTCGAGCGCGTGCTTGAGAACAAGTTCCACATCCACGAGGATTGAAAAAAAATCAGCGTGGATCAGTCGAATATCCGTGGTGATTGCATTTTTTTCAGCCCATGATCGATCCACGAGGAATCCCTGTATGATCCACGTGGAATCCCGGTACGATCCACGTGGAATCCCTGTATGGTCCACGAGGATTACTAATCCTCGTGGATTTCCACGTGGATATCCATGCAATTTTTTTCAACTGGGTTTACAATGCTGAATTTTATTCTTGAATTCAACTACTAATTAAAGTTTCACTATTCTATCGAGATCTTATGAAAGAACTTGCTGCCAGACGTCTTATAATTATATCAAAATCTTATACAAGAACTTACAAGGTCGATTATCATACATAAGTTCTTTTCAAGATCTTCTCTAAGAACTTATAGAATATTTTCATTCAGGTTTACCATAGATCTAGAGCGAAAATAAATCGAGATCTTTCTGGATTGAAGAATTTTAAATTTATTACTTTCACGTTTAGGATAAATTAACTTCTATCATAATATTTTAAAGTAATTTTATAAAATTTTGTAAATTAGCAGAATTTTCATTTCGAAGCGAAAAATAAATTTTCAAAGCTTATGTACAATTACAAAAGATTAAAATACAGCATCACAAAAAAGAAGTTAATTTTCTCCAGTCATTTGCATTGACCAAAAAAAAAGATGTTTTGTTCAATTTTGCGATTAAAATTGCGATAATTTTTTACGCAAACCAGATTTCAGGTATTAAATTCCCGAATAAGCTATATACAATCATAATGCAGGAGAAATGAAAGCTTTTTTGAAAAATATAAAGATCATAACATTTTTTTTGACTTTTCGTGATTCAAAAATGATATTTTATTTAATCATATTTTGTAAAAGTGAAAGAAAAAGTCAAATTCAATGTATCCATAAAACTAAAAAATGAATTTTTTAAGTTCAATTTAATTAGTTTTATTTAAAGTAATATGCATATTTCAAAACTAGTTAGTATAAAAGCTATTAACTTATATAAACTTGATAAAAATTCTTAACTTTTTATGGAAGTTAATATAAATTTTTGCAAAAATTATTTGAGAAGGAATAAAATGATTACAATTTTTTCTATTAAATGATTAATTTTCACAACAGTGGTTGTTACTTCTTGCATAAACAGTCATTTATTTACACTACTTTTAAAACATATGAAATAACACAAAAATTTATGATACATTTTCTGTACCGACATACAATAATATTGTATTACGCATTTTGATGAAATATTTTAATGGTGCACGATATCGGTAGGTAAAGTACACGCATCCTACATTTTTACAAACTTTTTTTCTTATCCTAGTCCAAAATCTCAACTAATATTTGATACGAAAAAGGCGCTAAATAGTCGTAGAGGTAAGTAGTTTTTTAAAACTCAATAAACATAAATGTAAGTCGTATTAAATTAACGTGGATTTATCAATATACCCTCATAAATGTATGGTATTCTGTTGAATAAAATCCCACGTCGTAATTCTAAAGCTTCCATCGTCAATATTTCTATCCTATTAAGTCCGATGTATAGCAATTATTTATAAACTTGCTTTGAAACAATCTCAATGTTGCATGGAAATATTTTCAAATAATCATTTCGGATTTACTAAAGGAGACTTTGCATGTAATAATTCTTATTTTCGTTCGATTAAACTAAAATAATCCTGGTCCTCAGTGCTCTGAAAAATGATTTTTTTAGTTTGTGCAATTTAATACTCTATCGATACACAGAAATAATCTGAAAAAAAGTAAGTAAATTTTGAATAGCAAATTAAACTTGTTAGTTCAAACTATTTTTTCTATAATAAAAACGAATAAAAAATATTTTTTCTGTCATTTTGCATAATGCAAAACAACAATCTTATTTAATTTTATTTAATTTATTATTTTTATATTTAGAACATTTTTCTATAGTTAAGCAGGACAATTTTTTAGTTAAACTTGTAAAATCTTTAAAACATATATAAACACCCATAAACTTTTGCATTGAGCGAGTTAATATACTGCTCAGAATTATTTTAAAAAGTTCATGAGCACTTATGTAAAAAACTTAAGCCAAATAAATGAGTATTCGAAAGTTTTGAGAACATAGGATGTTATGTATATATAATATAAATATATATTATTCGTTGATAAAAAAATTTATTATAATCTCTTATTCGATCTACGAATCATAGATTCAATGATCAATTACTAAAAAAGTTGTTTTATAATCGTGTCATGCGTTACATAACGATATTGGAAACATAGAAAAAATGAGCTCCTACTAAGATCAAGAGATACTTTAGGAGCTGCTTATGAGTATAGTATGTAAAAAAGGTCTGAACTGGAATTTTAAATATAAATTTGCTTCAATTTATAAAATATGCCTGTTTCATCTACTTTTAATTTCAAATAAGAACTAAATGGTTTTAAAGTTAGTTACTATATAGTGACAAGGCTTGCCGCACGAAGCTCAGTTAATTCAATTGACAACGACAATTAATATAATTATACTCGCACTTTATCCTCATTCGTTTAACCCTCGTTCGGTAATTTAGACTATTTTTGAGAAATTTCTGATTTCTATTTCTAAAAAATAAGACTATAATAGTAGTATGTATACATTAGACTGATTCAAAAAATCGAAGGTTTTCCGAACCTCGATTTTACAATCTTAATCTCTTCCATATGCCTAAAGATGAAGCCTAAAAAAATTTTAGTCCATTCAAATAATATTGGACAATCTATTTCATCTCTTTGAATGTTTGAGCGAACCCTAAAAAAATTGGGCAACTATGAGCGACACTTATTTCGATGCAAAATCTTATCACCTTTCAGAATTCGGCGTAAAAATTAAGATTGGTGAATTATTTCAGATGTTATGAGCAATTTTGTGTCGTGGTCAAAATTTTAAATGTGGTTTTTGCGTAAATCGAACAAAGTGTATTTGTTTTTTCAAAAAAATCCCTATTGAAAAAAATCAGTTGATAAGTCAGTTGATAAATCAAGTGATATAGCAAGTGATTATTTGAAATGATTTTTCAAGTGCTTTATCAATTGACTTATCAACTGATTTATCAACTGATATTCGGATGCTTTCTGAGGTTATTTATTTGTAGGTGGAAAAATTTTTTTTTGGTACATCTAAACGAAGCTAGTAATATTGAACATTGCCGTAGGTCGAAAATTATCATTTTCGGTTGGATAGGTAACTATCACAATGCAGTTTGATACAATTCATTTTGAATTATTTGACCTCGACAGATTGATATGACATGATGAATTTGCTTACCTTGAAGTTTACTTTGAAAAAACTCATGATCGAAAAAAGTATTCGAACGCCCAATTCATACAAGAGACAGCTATTGAATTTTTATATCGGACAATTCCGATTTTGAAGAATGCTTTTTTACAACAAATAATCCGGAATAAAAACGCAATCCATTACCATAAAATTATAGAAAATTATATACAATGCTGGATAGCATCAAGGTAAAAAAAAATAATTACCTGGATAAAAAATTTATCGAATCCGCATAACTTTTTATTTCACTTATACATACGAATTCTGCTGATTAGTTCAAAACATAATGATGAAAATTAACAATAATTTCAAGTTTTTTATACTTTTAGAATTTTTATAAAAGAATTTTTATGAAGTTTTTAATATTTTAAGAATTTTTATGAAACAATAAACGATTAATTTATATTTTTTGTAGCTATCCTTTTTTTTATTCTTTGCGACAATTCCTGATGAGAACGGACAATGGAGCGGTACACTTTTTCATTTCATCAAGTTGTTGTTTAGGAGTGAGAAACTTAAATTGTGTTTTCAGCTTGCTCCATTTTAATACAAGAGCTGCTATAAAAATAATGCGATTAAGAATTTTTATAGCGCTCTAACCTAAAAATCGCAACTTTGCTGCTAGTTTTAAGCTCTTTTGCTATAAAATATTGTATGCAACTTGTAAGAATAAGCTTTTTCAGCAAATCTCGCTACAGCATTTGCCTTCAGTTCGTGCAACCCCTCATTTTGCAGAAAAAGCATATCCGCACCCGTTGCATAAAGTTCTATGAAATTTAGAATTTTATAAACTAGGCATCAGCATCAACCTTTACTCATACTATTTATATTTACCAATATATAAATTAAGTTTTTGTGGCGTTAACAGCTTGAGATTTGGGTGCTTCGGCCTCTCATCGTCCAAACATCTGGTTTTCAATAGTTCCCTATCCCAAAGAATGGACGCTATGTCGGTGGAAAATCCATTTTTTGGTTTTGACCGAGCTATATCCCAAGCTAACTTTCCGATACTTTTACCCAAACCAAGGTGTACCTAATAAAATAAATAATTCAGACAATTTGATGATTATCGAATATACAGCTTGAAATAATATAAGAGATTATCCATTTGCAGTCGGAAATAACCCACCCTAACATATAGCTATATATCATAGCGTATAGCTATATAATAACGTAGAAGCAAAACAAAAAATTTTTTGGTTACATTTGACTGCAAATAAACATTCACATGATATAAAAAAAAGAAAGTACCATATCTATATTTTCTTTATTCTTGTAATGTTCCAAGATTCCATATTTTTGATGCTGCAACCCATCTACAATTAAATATATATTTAGCTTAACTTTTTATCACCGCATGATCAATAATTTAATAGATTATCAGTTAATAAACTAAGAACAATAAAAAATAAGAATTGTTCAGTTTTAGACATTAATTTATCCGCTCTAGTGAAATTAGTGTCAGCCAAACAGTTATCGATTATTCTTTGAGCTCTGTTCATCGACTCGGAGAAGTCATTTCGTGCTTCTAAACGCGACTAAGCATTATATGTAGGTTGCTAAAGATTTATTGTACTATATGGAGCCATGCATTGCGCGACTTTGAGAAAACGAAAATTTTAAATTGATAATTTTAAACCCTTTGGACTCAAGTTTGTAACAAACTCTCTTAAATACAATGTTTGCGAACGTGTCATGGTCCACCTCCGATAATATGATTTGAAGACGATTACGTCCTAATAGAAAAATAGAAATTATGATAATAAATAATTCATGTATGTTGAATGAAGTTGAACTAAGGTCTGGATTATAATTCCCTAAAAAAAGTTATAATTCACATAAACGTAATTCGGCACGATTATTTAGTTATCACAGAGCTCGTCTAAATCTTCACGGTGTCTGATGCCATCGTCTTTTTTCGCACTCACCCTAGTAGTTCCAGAACACGATACGCAAAAAAATACAACATATGAAATTACAGAGAAAATAATGCGAAATAATGTGTGAAGCAAATTAGGCAATTAAGTCTGGTCATTCAGGGGCACTTGCTTACAAAATTCTCTTATTGGTATAAGAAATTCAAAATAACCCTACATAACCCTACTTTTCCCAAATAATTATCATTTCCGCATGCAAAAATCAAAATTTTGTGGGTAAATTTCTCCCTGTTTGGCCACTTCACAGGCATACCGTGTGTTATTAGGTGTCGAGTGGGGTAATTTTTTATTAAAAAGTTTGTCAAAGAAATAAACAAATTATTTACCTTCAATATCCTGTAAAAGGCCTTTTTTACTATAAAGTGTATATAGATTTTTTTTATACGTTTTCAGATAATAAAAGTTTTCGTAAGTGCATTCTGATTCAGTTTCTCTCGTTGAAGGTTCTTTAGTTTTATGATCACTTGTGTTGGATCCACTTTGCCTTACAACAGAAGTTTTACTGTTGATTTTCGCTCCAGACTTCTCTCTGGTTTCTCTCGGGAAGGGTTCTTTAGTTTTATGATCACTTGAGTTGGATCCACTTTGCCTTACAACAAATGTTTTATTGTTGATTTTCGCTCCAGACTTTTTTTCTACACAACGATTTTGATTAACCTTCGTAGATTCTAATACTTTCAAATTAGCACTATTACCATCGTTCTCATTATCTTCATTTATACCTTCATTTTCGGACCCTAATTCAGAATGATTACAGCTTTTAACAGATTCATCAGAAGTATCACTTTCTGTAGCTTCATGTTGATCACTACTTTCCAAATCATTAGGTTCGAACGGCTCAAAATTTTCATTAATATCTAAATCATCTTCATTGTCATTGTTATTGATAGTCGATTTCAACGAATCACTTATATCAGTTTTATTATTTTTATTAGCATTTGACCTGATTTCAACTTGATCGTGTAACATTTCATCTGAATTTTTTCCCAGGTTTTTATCGTAAATATTTAGCAATGACTTTTTGCAACTAGGTTCTGCAAAAATCATAATTTTATAATAATTAAAATGTTTTTAGCTAAAAAATAGAAGAACTAGTTTAAATTTTCGCCCACGCCCCCCTACTTTTTGGCAAAGAGAATTTATACATAATACTTTTTTCTAGGTATTATTGTTGAATATATATATATTATATATATTATATATATATAGGGTATTATATGTATAGGGTGGGGAATAAATATGGAAACCCTTGGAAATCTCGCAGAGTAAGTTGAAAAAAAAATCAAAAACCTCACATCCAACGTAATTTTTGACGAGAAATCCAATGGTGAACTTGAATTTGACCTTGAACATAACCTTCGAATTCCAGCGACCCTAAAATCGACTTTTCAAATGGAAACCCTCATTTTTATTGCAGATTCGAAAAGAGCAGAAAATTTTACGTTGAAATATGTATTTTTTTTTCAAGGTCATTTTAAGGGCGTTACAGACGCACATAAAACCCCAATTTAACCTTAAATTAGGT